AAAAAAAAAAAAAAAAAAGATATACACTTAACTACTACATTCTCGTTGACGGAATGATTCCGCCACTATTGGTTACCGTAGATAATCTACATAATATATTTTTTTTGTGTATTCAATGTGAAAAATACTGACAATACCATCGCCTAACGAGACCTTAGCATTTTCCCTTATAAGGACATGTTTCTATAAAGCTAGATTAAAAAAAAAAAAAGGCCATCAATGTCTCACACCAAAATCACGTGATATATTTCACTAGATTCTTACAAAATTATGTGAAAGACATAAAATTGAAAATAAAAGGATTGAATATGAATAATTACTATATATGAATTCACTTGCTAGTTGAGATTACGTTGATTGAAAGCGCTAAGTCCTTACAAATAACATTAACTGAAAATGCAATTCTGATAATTGTTTTAGATGGATAATGTTCCCCTACTCACGGTGGGCACATGTTAATATGTCCATCGCGTATGTGGCATGCACACATTGATGATGTTAATATATTCAAAAAAATACATCACCAATGTGTGTATGCCACATAAGCGGTGGGCATATTAACGTGTGTCCATCGTGAGTAGGTGAGCATTACTATAGTTTAGATAGCTGAGTTGATTGAAAAATGCAGCTCGAATATTGTCTTGGACTATTAATGGCCAGTGAGCTTAATTTAAAAAAATAGTAGTCCTTTTACAAATATGTGCTTTGAGGTTTGATAAACAATTATGATTTAAAACTTGGCATGGTTCACATTTTTACAATATTTCTTATAGGTAAAAACGAACCGAGTTCGAACCTTAACGAGCCGAACTATAAGAGCATATGAAAATGTCACTTTTTCGAGCTTAGCATTAACGAGCTTATAATCGAGCCCGAGGTCAACTCGTTTATCAATATTAATGAGCTGAAACCGAGCTTTAATGAATCGAACTATAGAAAGTTATATAAAAAAAATTATCTTTTCGAGTCTTATCGAGCCGATGCCGACTCGTTAACCACAAGAATTTGAGCTTGAACTCAAACTCAACTTGTTTATCAATCAAACAAGTCGAGCCAAGCTCGAACCTAACAATCCGAGCCATAACAATCCGAGTCGAGGTCACAAGCTGCTCGTGCTCTAATCACAAAACACCATTTTGCAAACAAGAATTAGTTTCAATAAGTTCCTACAAACATTAGAATGATTAAGCACCGAAGCTTGTTAAAAAGTATCA